CATGCTTTACGTGATAGCCAAGTAATGTTACTCTCACGTTTCTAAGCTCTATCCGCTCCCCCTGAGACTCCTGACTCCTATGTCCCACCATCTTGGATGTTTTGTGGGCATCTCAAATCTAACATGGCAAAAGTCACACTTACGATATGCCCTCTAAGCCAGCTCTTCCTATATCCGTACCCATCTCAATAAAGACCAACTCCATCCTTTAGTCTCTAAAGTAAAAAACCTTGACTTTCCTATATCTGTATCTTTCCTTTATTGTTTCATGAAGAAGCATCTCACTTCCTGATCTCTTTGTCTTACATCCCATTGCTGGTCTACTATAAGTTTTAATGACTCCACCTCAAAAATATGCCTACCATCTTGATCCAAATCAGCAGCCTCCTAACTAGTCTTCCTCCTTCCATCCAGGCCACACTGATCCTTTTAGAACAAACCAGATGAAGTCACTATTCTGCCCAAATCCTTCCTAAGGCTCCTCACAACACAATGGGCAAAAGCCAAAGTTGATATGATCACCTACAAGGCCCATGTAAGCTGGCCCTCATTCCCATGATCTCTCTGACTTCATGTCCCACTACATTTCCCATAGCAGGTATCCTCCTGCCACAGGGCCTTTGCACGTTCCCTTACCACCCAGAAAAGCCATCCTTAACCATCCTATAAGAAGTGCAACCACCCACCCACCCTCAACCCTTCACTGGCACTTTTCTGCTTTATCTCCATGGCACTTACCACCCATCTGGCATATTATATATGTCTTTGCTTATTTGTTTATTGTCCAACGCCACCATGAAGGCAAAGATTTTTCTCTGTTTACCACCATTTCTCAAGAGCCTAAAATAGCATGTAGCATAGATTAGGGGTTCATATTGGATGAATAATCCGAATGGAGGGTTCTCAATTCAAGCTCTCAGAGCTTGACACCAGTATCTCCCTATATCTGTATCTATCCCTCATTATTTCATGAAGAGGTATCTCACCCCCTGGATGAGCCTAATTTATCCATGTAGGCTCCTAAGCCTATCTCCTTTTACTTTCTTAGAGACCTTATTCTATCAATTTCTTTCTTCCTCATATCTTTTTCTTCTCTACATTCTCTTTTTTCCTATATGTACAAAAAGTTCTGAATATCTTGCTACCCTCTTTAGCTGCCATCCTCTCTCCTTTTATCACAAAACCACTCAGAAGAGTAGTTGACATGCTTGTCTACACTCCCTCCCCACTCACTCAATCCCTCAGTCTGGCTTCTATCACCATCACCCTACTGAAAATATGCCTTTGAAAATCCTGAGGCCACCTTATTGGCAAGCCCAGTGCATTTTTCTCAATGCTCCTTCTCATGACCTCTCTACAGTGACATTGCTGCCCTCCCCCACTCCTCCTCCTGGAAACCCTTTCCTATCCTGACTTCTGTGATGACCCACAGTCCGCATCTCCTCTCACCAGCATGAACATTCATTCTCAGTGCACTGTATGGTCTCCATTCCCATCATGGCTATTTTACCCTACGTTCTTTTCTCTCCGTGCCTAGTGGCATAAATATATCATCTATGCCCAAAGCTTTACATTTCACCTTTGTGAGGATGACTCCAAAATCTATAGCTCTTTCAGACTCCAATTTTGGATATTTAATTGCCTTTCATACATCTCTACCTAGAGGCTCTACCATCACCTCAAACTCAGCATGTCTAACCCTGAAGTCTTCATCTTGCTCTTTCTCATAATTCTTGGATTGTTAATGGAACTATCATTCTATTTATATTCATGGAACTGCAGAATTCTCTCTGATGTCTCCCTTTCCCTCACCCACTACATCAAATCAATTTGCAAACATCCACTTCTGACACAGCATCCTTGGGATTCATCTCTTCTTCTTAATTTCCATGGTCAGCACCTTGATCCAGTCCCCATACCCAAGCTATCTAATATGCTCCTATATCTCCCAACTCGAAGTATCTCCTAAACTACAGCTTCCTAAACTACATCTCAGATCATGGCATACTCTCCCAATTAAAATACAGTTTCCTACACTTCCACTAAGTAAGGTTCAAGCTCCTTAGTCTGGCTTTAAAGGCCAACCAGAGGCAGGACCCACGCTACCATTCTTGACAGCTATGTTTTTCTGTCTTCACTGTGAAACCTCTTTCTCCAATGACCCTATTCACTTTCCAAAATCCTACTCATTGTCCAAGCTCTGTTTAAAACCCACACTCAAAACAGAACCACTTCAGTCTCTCTCGCTGATGGTGATATCTCCTTTTACCTCAATCCCGCAGAACTTTCTCCAAACTTCCCTTATTACTAATGACTTAAATGTTCCAGTTCTCTTTTCCTCTTACTATACTCTAGACTCCTTAAGGATAAGATCCACATCTTGCTTCCAACATGCATTGAAATCTCTATCCCTACAGACATTTGAGATCAGTCTAGTCACAGAACTGGGATCAGAAGATAACTTGATTGGACTCACCAACTCTGACTCTTATTTCTTTTTCTTGTCTTATTGCACTGGCTAGGACATCCAATACAATGTTAAATGATAGTGGTGATAATGGGTATGCTTACTTTGTCCCTGGCTGTGATAATATTTCTAATGTTTCATAAGAAAGTATAGTGTATGCTACAGGTTTCTAGTATATACCTCTTATTAAATTAAAAAAAAAAACCTACATCATTATTCTCTGAAATATAAGCTGAAGTAAAACATAAGAAGTTGTTGTATTAAAGTGGAATGAACCAGGGACATAATACAGAACATGGTGGATAGCCAAGTAGGAAAATGAAGACCTGAGGGAGAAAAGCCAGGAGAAACTAGATCAAGTTCATGGCCATGAAGACGTTCTCCCTCAGATCTGAGCTTCCTGGGTTACTCATGTTAAAGCTTATGTTCCAGCTTCTTATGGAATTTGAATGAGCAGAAAGACGTGATGCTGGAAATTTATCCTCCCTGGCTTCTAGACTATTCTGCACATTGATCCTATCTATGTGCCTTTATCTACACTTGCATGGCAAACATCCTGAAGAGCTACTAAGGATCTGCTGCTGACATAAGAAACACTGTTCCTGACGGGCATGGACCAGAGAGGCCCCTTTACAGGCCTGGAAACCAAGTATAACTGCCCCTCTATGCATATCATCCCTTCTCCTGAGTCATACACAGTTGATGGAAGAAATGGGAGCAGAGATGTGCCAATAATATCACCCTTTCCTATCATTCTTGGCAGCCAAAGACTGAGCAACTACGAGATATAGAGGTTGAACATCAAGCCCTCAGAAGCTAGTAGGAGAAAAAAGGCTGAGGGGAGATGCACTACAAGATGGGCATCCTTCCTGAAACATTCAGGTATGCCTTCCTCTTGAGCACGCTCAGGAGAGCTATACAGAAGAGTTTTGTTAGGGGGAGGTAATTCATCTTGTTCCCCAGAGGAAAGTCCTCTGGATCCTACCCTTCATTAGGCTAAAAATGTGACTATTCCTCAGGCCACTACTCCAATTCTGTAAAATATTGGGAGAGCTTCGTTCCCCTCCCTTCAAAAAACCAGGAGGAAAAGTCTGGACCACTCCCATGGAGTCTTTCTTTCACTGCTAGGGTTACAGAGCTACTTACCTGTGTTTTGGTTTTGTCTCGGGTAAAAGCAATGATGTGCTGCTAGACTAGCTCTCCAGGGGAGAGCCCCAATTGCCACTTTCAATGGTGTAACTTCTTCCATTATGGCCAATTTCAAGTTATGGACAGTTGAGCTGGGGACTGTGCTCTGCTCTGGGTGTCCATGCCCCCACACCCAGGGCCCCGCCCATTAGCCAGCTGGCCTTCTTCCCCAAACCCACCATCCATCCCCAGCAAGGGTGTCTCCCTCTCCTTGCAGCTGGCATGGTGACTCAGCTTCCCATAAATTTAGGAAAAAGGGGTGAAGAGCAGAGTCAGCTGCCCAGATTGCTCTTCTCCTCCATGAGCTTTCACCACTCTGTCAGCCAAGGAATTGTACTCTAGCCCTCCGCCCCCAGCCCTAGTCTCTGGTTCACACCTGCCTGGGTTTTAGCTTCACAACAAACTAGCCCATAGGATTCTCCACACAGTTTGACTGCCCCCATGGAATGGTCATAGGCTTAGGCCAGTGGGAAGGAAGGGGATCCTTCCTGTCCCCCCAGTATGGCCAAAACATCTGCCATTTCTTGCCTATATCTCCCCAATAAGCTCTTCCAGTTGCTCCACTCTCTCTCCTCTCTCCAGAAAGATAAACCCATTCACGTTCTGATAGGAAATGAAGCTTTGTTTCTCAGTGTCTTGCTTCTCATACAAAGCTGGTCCCAAAGCGAGGACCAACAGGACAGGATAACTGGACCAGAAGGGGGACATCGGCCTCCCCGAAACAGAAATATCCTGAAAGGACCCACCAGGGTTGGACACTCAGGAGCCCAAGGGCGTCAGGATACCCTCTCAGGTTTTGTTATGCCCAAGCGGGAATTTGGGTCTATAAGACCTCCCTCTAGCCTTCTCTGTGCCTTCCCTAAGAAACTGAAGTCTGAGTACAGACAGCACTACAGGCAGTTACAGAGGCCATTTCCTCTCTCCTTAGAAGATATGTACTCCAGCTCTACAAAGTCACTACCTCCAGGAAGCTCCCCGATTGTCCTAGCTCATAAGCCTTGCTTTTCCCAAGCTCTGGGGCTTTGGTCTCGATCTTATTGTAGCACACATTGCACTCTCTTAGAATTACCTGACCCTCACTAGACTGTAAGCTCCTGGAGGACAGGAACTGAAAGACACTGATCTTTCCATCTCAATGCCTGTTTGGAGCCTAACAAACAATGAATGCAAGAAGGGATGGCTAGTGTGGGCTCCTGCCAGCCTCTTTTCCAGACCAAACCAGTGTCTGCTGAGGTGTGATGGCTCTGCCTGTACCTTCCCAAGCTAGACCAACTGAGACCAACGAGGGAAGATGTGGAGGGAATAAAGAAGGGATACCCGGCACGATGGTCCCTGAGGCTCTTACCTGCTACCCTGTGGGCCACCAGCCCCTCCAGGTTCAAGGGCTCCTCCTCCGGAGTTCGGGATGGGTCTGAAGTCGCCTCCTTTGGTGGGAGCTGAGGCTGAGCGGTGAGGCCAGGGAGAGAGGCGGGGGGCTGCTGAGGCCCTGGAGGGCTGTAGTTGCTTGGAAGGAAAGCAGGCAAGGAAGAGGAGGCAGCTGGGCTCTTTGGACGGTAGCTCTGGTTGGGCCCAGCCTGATAATCATAAGGTGAGTAAGACCTGCCCTGAGGGACGGGCTCCAGGGAGGCCCGTGGGGCTGGCTCAGGGGTTCCCAAGGAATGCCCACTGGGGATGTAGCCAGATCTGGACTGGGTCAGCGGATGGGTCTGGTAGGAGGAGCCGGAAAGAGGCTGAGAAGAGAGTGGGGAAGCCCCAGGCCAGGCCCCAGGGACACTCTGGGATTTGTGCAGCGGGGCGGCAGCCGAGGATGGCTCTAGGTCCAGCATCAGCATGTTGAGGGCTTCGATGGACTGCTCGATCTCCTGCTGCGAGGCTGCCCTCGGGAACTCAGGGAGGCCAGGCGTGGGCGTCTCTGCCAGTGGCTGGGGGCCGGGCCTGCTGGGCCGGACACTCTCCAAGTGGGCTCTTTCCTGCTGGCGAGGAGGCAGGTGAGGCTGCTGCTGCTGCTGCTGCTGTTGCTGCCAGGAATTGAGGCCCCTCTGCACAGCCTCCCGACTGCTTCCCCCCCGGGCTGGTGCTGGGGGCAGCTGGGGCTCCGTGTCCGGAAAGGACTGAGAGCGGAACATACTGCTGGGGTCGTGACCATAGTGGGAGGTGGCCACTTGCTGTGCCCAGGCGGGGTGGGTGCCCTCCCGCTGGTAGCCAGCTAAGCCCTCCTGCGCAGAGTAGGAGGGCCGCATGGGAGCCACGTGGCCCGCATGGGCAGGCACTGCCCGGCTGGCAGACTCATAGGGGTAGCCCCCACCATTCACCATCGGCTCCATGGCGTAGGGCTTGTCCAGGCCATTGGTCAAGGGGGACAGCGCCTCCGGGTAGCCCCCCTCGCTGGTGTTGGTGATGCCGTCCAGGGAGGACAGTGTGCCCATGCTGCCCACGCTGTGCCCGTCCTGGTTGGGCAGTTCATCATCCAGAATGTCCGTCTCCCGCTCAGATGTCAACGCCCCACCATTGACGTGGACCTGGGCCGGGACGACATGGCGGCCGGCAGAGGGCACGGCAGGGCCCCCCGCCAGGCGGGACCGGAGGTGTTGGGCGTGGTACATAGCGCCCGGCTTCTCTCGTTCTAAGCCGAAGCCGCTGAGCAGGCGCTCCAGCTCACGCTTCTCCTCGGGACTCAGGGCAACAGGGGCACCGGCAGGGCCGAGGGCAGGCTCATCGGTCTTGTCTGTCTTGGTGGAAGCAGTGGAGTTGCCGGAGTCGCTGCTCACAGACAGGGTGTGCTCCACGTGGTTGGGAGTGGCCGACAGAGCAGGGCGTGTGGCATTGACGGCCCCGGTGCTGCCATTCAGGGAGTCCTTCTTCTTCACCTTGGCATACAGGCTCCCGTCCAGTGGCCCCTGCGTGTGTCCCACCACCTCTGCAGAGGAAGAGCAGACGTCAGCAGGAAGCGGGGACATCTTCTCTTCTCCCGAGGAGAAGAGTGAGGGCTTCCATTCCCTGGATCCTAAAACCTCCTCTCGGTACCCCGAGACAGAGCAAGGCAAAAGGACTACAGGACCCCCCCAACACCCTGCTTCAGGGCCAGCCAGCAGATCTTAAGGTTGGGCAGAGGGTCTTGGGGGTTAAGTCACCCATCCAAATGTTGCCTCTGGCATCTTGCTAGCTTCCCAAGGACCTGGGAGCTCTGGACCAAAGCCAGCAGGCCCCCTGTCAAATGAGACACATTTGCCCTGAATGCTGGGGACGTGAAGGTTCTGGAAAGGGATTGGGGCAGGGGCGGGGAAGCATCTTAGAGATCAAGAACAAAAGGCAGAGGCTTTCACCAGGGAGAGGTGCCCCCGCCCCCCTCGGTGTCATTTTGTCCACAGACAGCTCCGGGCCCCCTGAGCAGCGCTTTCTCTGAAAGGAAAAAGTGAGTGCCGGGTGGCTCAAGGCCAAAGGGCTGACTCAGGAGCGAAGAACTTCCCCCGTGCAGAGGAACTCAGTGATTTCACACCCGTACAGTCAGCAGCCCAACTCCCAGCCCGAAAGACACACACACACACACACACACACACACACAGACACACACACACAGACACACACGCACACAGACACACACACAGACACACACGCACACACACACACATACACACACACGCACACACACAGACACACACACACAGAGACACACACACAGACACACACAGACACACACAGACACACGTGCACATACAGAGACATACACATACACAAAGACACACACACAGAGAGACACACACATACACACACATACACGCACACACACACACACGCACCTTCCCTCACTCCAAGGCAAGCCCCCACTTGGCAAAAAAAAAAAAAAGGGTTTCTCCCAAATACTGCACAAACCCCAACCCAGACCCAGTCTCTCTCTCTCTCTCTCTCTCTCTCTCTCTCTCTCTCTCTCTCTCACTCACACACACACACACACACACACACACACAGAAAACCTGGCACAAAGACATCCAGAAGTCTACGTGCCAACCAGTAATCACCCAAATCAAGCACCCCATGTTCACCCACATCAAATGCCCAGGTACCCCCAGCCAGAAAGCACACTGTGGGCACACATATGCAAACACAAGTAATAATAATGGGTACCATGCAGCCAACATCTGTTATGCGCCGAACACTTTGCTATACACTTTATACATACGTTGTTTCTAACCCTGTGTGTTAGGGAGGGTTCTGCCTCCTATTTCAAAGATGGAGACACTGAGGTCCTGAGAGGGGAAGCTATTTATTGGCAGATACACAGCACCTGGTAAAGCTGGGGTTTCATATCAGAACTCATTTAAGACAACAAACATAAAACTAAACTAACAACAGAACTTCAAAAAGCACACAATTTTTATTATTATTCTGCACTCACTGGCTCTCGTATCTCAGACACGCGTACACACACCATAGAATGAACACATGACAGGCAGCAGTACCCCAAAATAACTTCTTAAATATAAAGCTACAACCATTTCAGAAAGCACAAGCTCCTCCCAGGCCCCGGATCAGCCCTGGGGCCAGAAGTGGCAACCTCTAAAAATAAACGCTCATACAGAAACCCACGGCCAAGAACAAGTGGCCAGACAACCACAAAACAGGAACATCCTGATCGGCGTGCGCGCGCGCGCACACACACACACACACACACACACACACACACACACACACCACAGGTCGGCCGAATGATGTCACCCATCGAGCGGGAGCGCAGAGAGGCCCGGCAAGCATCGTCCACACACACACACACACACCCGGGCCAGCAGCAGAGCCCAGTGACCCTGGCCAGAGTGTTGTCACAGGACTCACGGGGACGGGGCTGGTCAGAGTGGGAGAGGGGTTTGGGCTGAGATAGGTCTGGAAGTCCAGCAGCCTGGGCCTTGTGCCGGGACCCCTGTGCAGGCTGCTCGTCTGCCTCCACCCTAAGGGGTGGACACTGTCAGATGGGAGAGCTTGACCCTCATGCATGTTTCTCCAAAGAACTGGGTGCCTTGCTACACAAAAATGCATAGAAATACTAAAGACAGGAGCCTCGAACCCACTCAGATTTCTGGGGGTGGCTCCTGGGGGGATGGGCCCCTCATTCCAGTGAGTGGAAGTCTGAAGCGCTGTCTCTCCTCTCCGGGCCTGGAAAGCTGCTGACCCCACAGAAGCAGGCCCATTCCCGAGGCTGAGGCCCACGCAGCAGCCCACACCATGAGATGCCAGAATGTTCCTCCCGGGCCAGGGGTACCCTCCATACCCTACACCCCCAGTCCCCCAAGTCCATGCTCACCTGGTTTGGGAAGTGGGGAAAGCAACAAAGCAGAGGTGGGGTGCCCCATGCCTTCCCATTTATACTTACATGGAAGGCCAGGAGAGACACCAGGAGCAAACCTGAGAGTTGTCTCTCCTTCCAGAAGAGAGCAGACTCAGGCCAGCACTTCACTTGGGAGCATAAAAGAAGTGGTTTGGGCAGAAGAGCTAAGAAAGCATCCCCGAGGCTGGGAGGGAGAATTCACACTGATTCCCATCACCTGATATCCTGGCCCTGCCAGCCAGGCCCCGCTCTTCATCGATTTTGAAAATGTCAATATTAAATGGATTCTGCCGTGTAGTTTATCCCCACACGGGCTCCTGTGTGCAGCAACAAGGTCAGGAATGATAACTGCCAGGCCACGAAGGCTTGGGAAGAAAATCGAAGATGTGTAAATAGTGTAATTAACTCCTGTTTGCTTCATACACATGGACAGGTCGATGTATGCCCTCACAGAAGGCCCTGGCTGCTCCTGACCGCCCAGTGCTGGCCGAATGCTCCAGGCTATTCTGCAGCCCTCACTGGTCACCTGCCTCTGCATACCAATGAGAGAAGCTAAGCACAGACCAGTCCCGGGTCTATCCGGGCCCTGAGAGGGCTCTGCGGTGTCACACAGCGCATGGGCAGGACCTGGGGGGCCCCTGCCCTTGCTCCTCCCATCAGAGAGGAAGGTGAGTGCCCCTACTCACCACACCTCCTCCCCGCCCACCACGGCCACACTAAGAGCTATCTGCCAGGACCACAAGATGCCGGAACACAAGGTCTGTTTAATCTATTGTGGCAGGAAGGGCAAGAAAGAGAGGAGCGGGTAGAGCAAGGAGAAGGAGTGAGAGAGACTGGGGAAGGAAGAGAGAGAGCTTCGAGGAGGGGGAGAGCTCTAAAGCTGAGGGCCACCGGATCCATCTCAAGTCCCAGCAGATTCCAGGAATGGCCAGTTCAGGTGAAAACCGCCTCAGATGAGGAGTGGGACAACAGCAGGAGGGGGCCGTGGGTACCGGCATGGATGACAATGGAATAGGGCTGTGGTCAGCAAACTGTGGCTCGAGAGCCACATGCAGCTCTTTGGCCCCTTGAGTGTGGCTCTTCCACAAAATACCACGGCCTGAGCTAGTCTATGTTGAAGAAGTGGAGTTAGAAGAAGTTTAAGTTTAAAAAATGTGGCTCTCAAAAGAAATGTCCATCGTTGTGCTGTTGGTATTTGGCTCTGTGGATTAACGAGTTTGCTGACCACTGGGCTAAGGGAATACACCGCAGGGAAACACCAGTTAGACAGGCAGGGGAGCGGGCTCCCAGGCCTCATGCCATGCCAGCCTGGCCAGCTGGTCCTATGGCCGTCTCCCTGCCCACTTCTCTCTAGGGAAGCTGGGAAGTCCACAAATGGCTCCACTTGTCTCCCCTGAATCTGTCTCCCAGTTCCTCCCAGCAGCTGCACCCAGCCCGGGACTCCACCCTCCATGCTGACTTCGCCTGCACCAAGGAGCCCTTCTTCCAGGGCGGCCGTGGTCCAGCTGTGCGAGTCATGCTTCTGGAGAGCTCGGAGGAACATCCCCAGCGACTGGGAGGCCGCCCTGCTCCCCGGGCTCCCGCAGGGAGCGGCATGGGAGCGCGTGGGGCCGGAAGCACAGCGCAGGCCGGAGTGCACTGCAGCCACGGCCAGCCCATCCACTTCAAACAGAACGAAGGAGCTCAGAGGGAAAGTAGCGGAGGGTGGGGGTAAGGGGAAGAGACCAACCAAAGGACTGTGTGCATGCCTATGGGCCTGGCCAATGGCCATGGACAACAGGGGGGTGGGGGCATATGTGGGGAGGGGTTTGGGATGGGAATGGGGGGATGAGGACGATTATGTGATACCTTAATCAATAACATTTAAAAATAAATAAACAAACAAACAAACAAACAAACATGGGATGCCGAGACATGGATTCAGGGCAGGTGTTTTCTAGTTCTGATGTCCATGAGAATCTCCTCTGGGGTTTGTAGATTCTGGGGCCTGATCTCCAAAGGTTTTTACTCACAGGTCTGAGGCGGGGCCAGGAGGCGGCCTGTTAACTGGCTCTCTAGGGCCCCGCTGCACATGGTGGGGAACATCTTAACCAGCCCAAGGTGAAGGGCCCTGCTTCTCTAACCGGCGTCCAGTGGGGAGGTCTCAGTGTGTAGACGTCAGGTCAGGAGGCCCAACGTGAAGGCTACAGGGTGGCAGGCTGCTTGACTGCAATAAAGAGGCTCCCTGGCGATGACTCGGTGCGGAGAGACCCCCTCCCTGTCCAGCAGCAGGCCTGGTTTGAACTGTGGCTGATTTATTAAGGTTTTCAGAATGGGACCCTTCGTGATAAAAAGTCCTCTGAGTCCACGCCCAGCAGGATAACAATTCATTAAGATACATTACCCGGAGCCATGATGCCGACGGTCATGGAGGAAAATCAATGCCGTCCGACAGCAGAGGCACAGTGCCCGCCCCGGACGCAGGTGGTTTGGAGGCAGACAGGGGCCCCGGCAGGTTAGGAGGGAACCTGGCTCCTCACACGTGGGAATGCGGCATCGAAAGGCCATATGTGTCTGGGAGGTAGTGAACTTTGACAAGGACTGAGGCCTGGCCAAGAGGC